AGAGAGAGAGAGAGAGAGAGAGAGAGAGAGAAGTCCAGATAATAACTTCGGCATCCGCATAGGATATACATATTTAAATTTATGACATTTAATTTTTCAAAAGAAAGCCATAAGGTGACAAGGTTTATTTTGTCTGCACTTTTCATTGTACACGCAAGACATAGCGCTGGAAAGAGGAATCCCTGTCTTGGAAATACGATTGCATGGATTAATTAGTGAAGGTCTCATCCATAAAAGATTGGAAGGTTCTATCAACTCCCGGGGGTAACATGAATAATTCGGCGTTGTTGCGGTGAAACTGAAAGTCTGGGACTAGAGCCAGAGCGCTGCATCTATAATGGATAGACTATCATTTTTTCATGGATTACCCAGGGTCAGAAAGCTTCTTCCGATCACAAAGAGTTACTCATTTCTAAGTCTACAGAGTATTGATGCCGCCATGGTTTGCAGAAATAGAGCTGTCATCACTTACGAAGAGTATTCTAGGTAGATAGCTACGCGCGCACACACACACACACACACACACACACACACACACACACACACACACACACAAAGCGCACGCGTGCGCACAACTACACATCCACACACATTCTCTTTCTCCCTCTATTTCTCTCGCGCACGCAAGCACGCAGACGAACGCACACACACGCATGCACACACGCGCGCACACACACACACACACACACACACACACACACACACACACACAGGCATAAACACGTGCACACACATCCATACACGCATACACGCCTACTCTCTCATACATCCTCTCTTTCACACGAGCACATTATATTTAATAATATACATGTTTACACTTACAAGTACAAACAGGCCCATAGTCACACGCATATGATATACATGAACAGTTATAGAAAACAAAACAAAAAACGTTTCAGCAAGTTACGAAATCAAAATTCTGATAGAAACCAGATGCTATTCTTATGGTAAATGCTTTAAAGGCCATAGAAATACACAAGATCATTAAGATGGAGTGAATTCAAAAGAACTATATTGGTGAAAAAAATGGCCTTCTCTGTCTTTGTGTTTTACAAATTAAAAACATAAATCTTTTACGTTTTTTAAGTGCATGTGATAATGCATAATTCATTGAAATAAGGTAATGTAAACGTTAAAGTTTTTCGTGCTTTCCGCATTAATCAATTCAGTTTTACTTTATCTTGATGCATTGTGTTTCCGGCTCATGACGTCATACAGAAATGTATCAAACTTTGTATCGTTCATTGATAGAATACGGACAATAAAGATAACCAAGTTTAAAATTTCATGTATGAGCTTCCTCGGAAAAAGATTTTTGTTCACTTTTTCATGCAGGGGAAAAGTGCGGACATGTCAAAAGAATGTGTTGTCTATGAAAGCACCCAAGTACTTGTAATCTGACACTTGCTTGACGTGTTCATTTTCTCATCTGGAATAGCTGCAGTGGCAATTTCTGTTTACTACTAAAATCGACAACACAAATTCGTTAGACATTGTCGAGAACTGATGAAATGACGTATTCTACACTTCTCCCATGGCGGTATGCACATTGCAGAGGGTCCTGGGGGTCCAATGTATATTATTCTTAGCCTTTTCAAAATAAGCATGTTCTAGATATTTGTTCATAGCAACAAACGTTAAGGCTACTTCAACTTAAATTAGTTCTGTCATTACACCATAGACTGAAGGCGCTGGATCGGAAAAGTAACTAAAGTTTTAAAAATCGTTATACTGTTTATAGTTTCTCTCTTTGGAATAGGGGCAACTTCTGAATAGGTAACTTAAAATGTTACACTAGGTATCAGAAAACGAAAAGGGAACCAAAAAAGAGGTTATAAAACAGAGACAAGGTTGGAGTTTTTAGTTTCTTTGAGAGTTTTATAGCACTTGCAATACGAATAGACCGTATTAAAAGTTGTTCCCGCATACGATCCAGACATAGGGGATTGCCTTGTTAGTGATCGTATTAGTCCTGAATAAAACAGGTGTTACTAGAGAGTTGCATTCCAAGAAAAGGAGAAACAATGAGAATGATGAATGTTGGGTAGGAAAGAAGGAACAAACCATACTACGGTACACTTGTACAAACCTTTTTGTGTTGCAAGTGCCGTAAAACTCTCATTAGATCAAAGGGCCCACCTACCACTCACTCACAAAGTATAAGATAAAAAAAACTGAAAGGCGGGTCGGAGACGCTGGAATACGACAACGGCAAATAGTGAAACAGATTAAATAAAAGTAACTGCACATGGAATTTATTTTTTTAAAATTAAGGTGAGTCAAAGGGAAAAGTAGGACATTACCTTGGTGTAATCTGCCGCGTCCTCAAGTTCTGCCTCGGTCGGTGACTCGTTTCTGTGTGACTGGTATTCTTTTTCAACTTTCCGCACGTAAAAAATGCCCTGAAAATGACGCTAATCTCTAACCTGATTGTTTTGTTTTGTTCCTTTTTAGTTGGGGTTTTTTTTTTGGCTTTCCTTGAGCTGCTGTTAAAAGGAGATTTATGCTAAAATTCGTCCCCTATTTCACTTAGTTTTATTTCGTTTTGTTTTGGGGTGTTTAAACTTTTAATGATTGTTTTTTTTTACTTTAGAAGTGGAGATTTTCCTGTCGTTTTCTCTTCGAGGCAGAAACTTGAGAACAATCAAACCACAGACTCCCCAGCAAGCTCTGAGCACCACACCTTCTGTTCCTTCACCCTTGTAGACTTTCTATATTCTCACACGTCTTGGGGGCTAAACCGACGAGCCATATTCGGCCTGGTCACGTGACTCACCGTTCGTCCAAGTGACAGCAAAGGACAGCTTGTGGAGACAAATGATCCACGCTGTGCGTGTTCAAGGCCAGAAGGTTCGGTCTGCGGTAGAATATTGTTGTAAAGCGTTGATAGGTCAGTTTTGTTCTATGTTAACAGTCGTGTGGGGATGGTTTGTACACCTTTCTGGCCCCTGCTGCCCTTTCGCTCTGCTCCTTGAACTTCTTTGTTCGTGTGTTGTTGTTTTGTTTGTTTTTTACAATGTAGATCTAGGTGTGTTCAGTTTTTTTAATTTAGATATTCTGTAAAGAACATAACTTTAATCTATAGCTTACAATGAGCTTCTTGTTGTCTTCATTTATTTTCCACAGAAGGTCAAGTGCAATTGTTTTAGTCTTTGTATGTTATTTTCGTTTCGTTCTTTTTTTTTCAATGTATACATTTAATTTAGGTTTTTTTCGAATTATTGTTGCCTTATTATCAAGACAGTCTGGAGAATAGTATTCAGTTTCTATTCTTCATCAAGAGTATGTCTTGATAGTGTTGAATTTGTATGGTTCACCGTCTATTCAACATGCGTTGACATGGGAATCTTAAAAGAAAAGGAAGAATGGCCGAGGGGGAGGGGGAGTATTAAACTCGACGAAGGATGTCTTAGTAAGTTACTAAATAGGGGTGTAGTCCAGCCTTTTGTATGAAAGCTCTCTTTAGCATAAACCCTCATGAATTTACCCAAGCATGATTTGTTGCTTCTTTGCAGACGGTTTATTTGAGCATACATGATACAGCTGCTTTATCTGGGCGATTGACATAGAGAAAATAGATTGTCCAAGTACTACTTCCCTCTTTTCTTCAGATCTTGACTTTCTCGACATGCTCCAAAGGAATGACTTGGTCAGCAAGTTTGGAATCAAGTGTGGAGTACGGGTTTGTCTTATTCTCATATTATTCTTGCGTGGCGTCGTTAGCCTAGAGGTGAGGCTACCGGACCCGTAGTCGTGAGATTGAGGGTTCGGGGGTTCAAGCCTCTGCTCGGTCCGAGGTTGTTTCCTTGGGAAAGGCACTTAAGCGAATTTCCAGTTTGGCTCGGTCCTTCCGGAGATGGACGTTAAACTCAGAGGTCCTGCCTCTTAGATAATCCAATAGTGTTGATAGGGGCGTTAACCTTTACAATTTCATCATTTTTTAAATACCTTCTTGCGGCGAATGCACTATTGTGCATAGCCAGTGGGGATTTTTGGTTGTTTTTTCTCAATCTTTGTTCATTCTTCTTTGTTCGTACCACTGAAACAAGTGCACAGTGACCCTCTCTGTCAGAAATTCTTTTTAAAATATCTGCTTCCGAGTTCCCAAACTTTTTATGAAGCAAACAGGAATTTTTCCTGCCACAAATTGTTGGTTTTTTATTTGGGTAAGTGTGCAAATAGAAAACGCTTTTCAGATTGGGTGTACATTTTTCGTATTTTAATGGACATTGTACATACTAGTGTGGTGAAGCTGTCACGTTTGGGGTATTCTAGGGTGTTCTAGAATGCGGAGCACTTACCTTAGACGCTACTCGAGGAGGGGGGAAGGCATAACCGACTTTACCTCAGCCTTGATTAATTCTCTCTTGAAGAAACATTTTATCCTGTAAATAGACATGTTCAGCTTGAGAAGTTAGTTGTACATGCCTGTGTTTTCGAATAAGAAATAATATGTGACGAGTAGATTATGTTTTTTTGTTGTTGTTTTTAATTGGGATTTTTTGTTGAGGGTTTGTTTTTTTTGGTTTGTTTTTTAAAGTTTTATTTGATTTGTGAGAAATACATCGGTACGACAGTGGCATGATTGACCAGTGTTAGGAAAGACAATATTTGTCATTTTGGAGAGCGGTGGGGCACAACCTGCCCTTCTGTTAACGAAACGGGCAGATTTTCAACAGCAAAGCAAACTGCTAAACAAACTGAGTTTTAAAAAAGGGTCCCCCATCAGAAAATAACAACCTTCCACTCTACATTGTTGAGAAAAAAGTGGTCATCCTAGACAGGTTTTTAGAAATGCATATTAGTAGGTGATACGAAAATAGTAGCCTCTTAATGATTGAAAAAAGGGTGGGGGTTGTTTCTTTGTTTGTTTTTGGCTTTGCTTTTTTTTTCCTTCGATTTTCTTTGGGGGGGGGGTTGTTGTTGGGGTGTTTGTTTGTTTTTTTGTGGGGGGAGTTGGCATTGTTGTTGTTGTTGTTGATGTTGTTGTTGTTGTTGTTGTTGTTGTTGTTGTCCTTGTTGTTGTTTTGTCCAAGAGGACCACCTGTCGAATATGGCTACATTTGGTCTAAAAAATACGAGAGGGTGGCTAAGTTTGTAATTGTAGATGCTTTACGCCGTCATCGACGCAATGTATAATAATAATAATATGAGAGACGGACTGCTTCGACTGTGCTTGACAGAGTCAACTCGGGCTGAAAGAGATACAATGTCCCAGCAGACAGACGGAGGCACTCGATAAAGATTCTCCCTCACACAAGTCACTACCTTAAAGTTACAAGGTTTTTTCTCCTTGCAGTAGCCAGTTTTGAGAAATTTGACGTCAAATATTTTGAGTTTCACAACATGTCAAGCTTTTTTAAAATGCAATTCTTTGAACATCTTAATAATGACTCCTAAAATAATCTTACGATTTTGATAGAGCAGATAGACCATTTGGTTTCTGGCCTCTCTGCTCTAGTAACTCAAAACGGCCAAAATTATCAGGGGAAAATTGTAATTCTAAGGTAGAGATATGTCGAGCTATCATCTTCTGCGTTCGACGACGCAGAAGCGCCTTATAGGGGGTGCCAACATACGCGATCGGGTCGGGTCGGGTCGGGTCGGGTCGGGTCGGGCCGATCGAGTCGGGGTTTCAGTGCACACTACAGCCCCGCCGCGATTGTACCCGACGACCTGGAAGTTAAAGTAGAGAAACCTCTAACTTACATGCGACTACACAGAGGCCGTAAACCGGGCTACGATTGGCTGAACCTTTGACCCATGAATACATAAAATATACCAGCCTTTCTCTTGGACTTTCCGCAATCCCTCTCTCTGTCTTTGAGTGAGTGTGTGTGTGTGTGTGTGTGTGTGTGTGTGTGTGTGTATGTGTGTGTGTGCGCGTGTGTGTTTGTTCGTGAGTGTTAGCTTGCTTGCTTGCTAACTTGCTTTAGTGTCTCTCTCCTTTCTTGCCTATTTCTCACTTCCCATATCAGAGACCTAGATCTAGATGTAAACATTGCTAGATCTAGGTCTCTGAATATATCTTTCAACTTATCTCTCTCCCTCCCTGTCACTCCCACCACCCTCCCTCTGTTGTGCTCCTCCTCCTTCTTCTTATTCGTCTCCTTCTTCCTCTAGGCCTATGAGCGCTCCAAACCCGCTGTGAGAAGTGAGAAGACGGTCAAAGGCGTGAGACCGAAACCGGGAATTCCCAGAGAACTTACTTAATGTATTCATGGGCCAAATTGGACACGTGACTCAGCCTTGTTGTGATTGGCTGCAAACCCCCTGATCGCGCGATTTGCAGGCCAGAAAACAAACGCGTTTGTTTTTGTAGGTCACCGAACGTGTCGATCGTTTTGTGCCACGATTGCCGCTTTGCGCCCTCAATTTGGCTAGCCCTACTACCCGATGGGCCCGACCCGATCGCGTATGTGGGCACCCCCTATAACCTACCGCCACACCAAAGAAGCCGATGATACTTTAGTTGTGGTGGTGAGGGCATCTTCTGAGGTCACATGGTAGGCAGTGTCCACGTCCTCATAAATGCATAACACCAGGAAGACGGAGAACGAGGTGTGGACTCGGTCATAACTAGGTCACGCTTTGGAGGGCTTATGTCATCTGCTTGTAAACCGTGGCAATATTGGTAATTTCGATGGGCGGTGGGAATCACTCAATGGTTGGGGGGGCGCCTTTCTGTTAAAGAAACAGCCAGATTCCTAAGAGCAAAGAGAAAAGCAAAACAAATTGCGTAAAAAAGGTCCACCATCAGACAGAACAGTCTTCCCCAATACTTTGCTGAGAAAGGAAGTGCAGGTCATCAAAGACAGGTTTTCGTCTTGGACAGGTCTGAGATTAACAATCTCCACGGTATGTCCTACTAAATGCATAACACCCGGAAGACGGAGAACGAGGTGTGAACTCGGTCATAACCAGGTCATGCTCTGGAGGAGGCCTTGTGTCATCTGCTTGTAATTCCTGACGATACTGGTAATTTGGGTGGGCGGTGGGAATCACCCAGCACCACTGAAGAGTGTGTTGTGTGTGTGGGCGGGGGGGGGGGGGGTTACTTAACCTGCCTTTCCGTCAACGAAACAGGCAGGTTCCAAACAGCAAAGAGAAATGCAAAACAAACTGCGTAAAAAAAGACCCACAATCAGAAAAAAGACAACTTTCCCCTACACATTGTTGAGAAAGCAAGTGCAGGTCATCTTAGACAGGTTTTTGTCTTTGACGGGTCTTAGTCTAAGATGAACAGTCTTCACATCCTCACAAGTGCATCGCACCAGGAAGACGGAGAACGAGGTGTGAACTCGTTCATAACTAAGTCACGCTCTCGGCGGCGTGTATCATCTGACACTTTCAACACTAAAACGCAATGTCAAATGACTGTGGATTAGTGAGGGGAGTGACGTGTTATTTACTGTGACGTAAGACAGGTAGATGGGAGTGTGCGATGTACATTGTACTTTTGTGGGAAAAGCATGAAGGAGATTTTTTAGAATTTAATGTAGATGCTTTTACACCGTAATATACACAACCCGGGCTGAGACGAATACAATGTCTCTGCAGAAAGACCGAGATATTCTATAGAAATTCTCCCCATACCGGAATCGAACTGGGGTCTCCTGAGTGCTACAGCGAAGCACCTTACTGCTACAACTCAGAAACTGAGGGAGAGGGATGGTGGCGCAGGATAGACAATGCTTGGAGCTTG